CTAAGAATAATGGTGAAGAACTTGGAAGAATGAAGAATATTATGGAAGTTTACCGAAGAAAACGTAATATTTCCGAATATTTAAGCAGAAATTCAAACATTTCTGAATATTGTTGAATAGGGTTAAACACACTGAGAAGTACCCTTCTGAGAAGCCTCCCTATCCTCACAGAAGATTGATGATGCAGAACTTCTCTTGCCACTCTCGGGACTGCTGGGCCAAGCGTCGAAAAACCAAAATTCAGCTCGACCGATTGGCTGCCCGCCTTGCAAAACTGCAGTGCTCCAATGGGCCGCAACAGGGGCAGTCCCCTTCTGAGCAGCAGCTGCGCCGTGATTTTCAGCAGGGTGTTGGACAGCGTGATGGGCCTGGTGTCCGCGAAATCATCTGGGGCCCTGGTTTTCGGAAGGAGGACTGCAATGCCGCCGTCAAGGCCAGGGGGGAAGGCCCCCTTGTAGAGGATGTCGTTGAAGAGCCACAGCAGCCTGGTAAGCCCTTGTCGCGTCAAGGAGATATAGCGGACAGCTTCGTGACTAATGCGGTCATGCGGTCCTCCCCGGTTGCCTTGTTGTTTCGCCATTTGGCCATAATCCCCCGTAGGTCGTCTTCGGTGAAAGGGTTCCATGGCATGTGCTTGCACTTGACGGTGAGCTGGGCGGTCAAACGCTCGGCGCTATCCCTCACGCCGATGGGGTCCTCCTTGGCAAAGATGGCCTGGAAGTGCTTCGTCAGCTGTTCCCGCCAGTCGGGCTGGTCCGTGAGCTTTTCCTCCCGCTGCTTGTCCCGCCGTGTCTGGCTCTTAATCTCGCGGTACGCGTACCAAGAGCGTTCCCCGGCACGCTTCGCCAGGTCCTGGGACCAGGTTTTGTGCTCTCGCTTGCGTTCGCGTGTTCGCGGTGCACTTGCTTCCATGTTGCCTCCGAGAGGCTCCCGCGGGAGCGCATTGGGCTCTGTTGCGCAGCTTCTTGACACTCTCACTTTCCTTGAATCTTTCCCCTGGCCTGGGAATGGTGATTGCAAAAGGGCACACGGGCGGTCCCCGAGCGGTGTCACCGAGGTGCAAAGGGCCACAGCTTCATGGTCCGACGCGGGAATGTGTAGTCACCGATGTGCGCTTCAGTCGAGTGGGTCCCCTTCAGCAGCACGTAGTCCAAGCGGCGTGGCCTGAGTTCCTGGTTGTAAGGAAAGTGTGTCGGCTGTTCCAGTCGCTGTGGTGGTAGGCGGAAGCGGTGCTCCAGCATCCATGTGAGCAGGAAGTCCCCGCAGGCGGAGTGGGCAACCGCGAGGTGCCCTCCCGGTCTGGCGGTGAACGTCTCGTTGGCATCCATCCCCAAGTAGACCCTGTTCTCGCGCATGGCCGGGTGGTCAGCGAGGGCTGCCAACTGGGTTCCAACTTGGTCGACCGTCGCGTGGTGGGGCAGGTGGTAGGAGATAACGCCGCCAAGGGTGCTGCCCCCGTTAACAATGCACGTGCTCACGGCTGCTCGGGAGGTGCTGCTACGAGTGTGTGTCCCCAACTCCTTGCGAAAGGCCACTGCTACTCCTCTCCAATCTTTATCTGTTTTCCCAGACACCATTCGCCAGTGCTGGGTGGAGTCGTACATGATCCCTTCGGGAACGACGACCTCTTGAAAGCACCATACATCAACTTTGTGAAGAGGTGGCGATCCCCAAATCGCGGGCAAAAGAACCTCCAACGTCTTCGACGGGGTGAGGCCCCCGAGGTTCCAGGTTGCCACAACAAGGTCGCGGGTTGGCTGCCGCCGGGCTGACCCCCGCTGTTGGTGAAACTGCCGTTGTTGATCCCGAGATAGTCACCGGAGGGCGGCCGCAAGCTGCCACGCCTCTTGAACGCTCTCCGTGGTGACCCCGAGCAGTCGGGCAATCTGGTTCAAATCGACCCAACCAAGTCCAGCTTCAGTGGCTGCCTCTGGTTTGGGTCCCCCCCGTAGAGGAGATCCTGCGGTTACCGTACCAGACTGACCCGCGTTCCGAACTCTGACGACGGCTTTCTGCACTCGGTCTCGCATGGTGTAGGTATCCTCGTCGTCCCTGGTCGCCATCGGCACGATCACGTACCCTCGGCGGAGCCCTGGGACAAAGCCCCCTCCATATCCACATCAACTTGCAGATCTCGCAGTACCGCTTTAGCTTTGTCGAGTGTCACCGCGGCCTCCTGATCAGGGCTCCACCCTCCAAGAATGAAGGCGGGCCTGCGGGCGTCCCCGGTCTCTCGCTGGGCTGGTCCCCGTCCTTCAAGTTTGGCGATCTTTTCCTCGAGGTTCAGGATCTTGTTGGCGAGCTGTTTCGCTTCAGCCCCGACTTGGACGATGGCCACCCCTTGCTTGTCCTGTCTGGCCGACAGCTCCTGCATGCCCGTCAGGGCCTTGTTCAGCTGCTTGGTGACTCCCCGCTCGACATCCTCGATGCGTCGGTTCACCTTAGTGATGGCCTCCCCGATCTCGTCCTTAATCTCCCGGGACAGGCGGGTTTGCTGCTGGGCGAAGCCTTCACGAAGCTCTCCCCGGAGGGCCTGGGCGATGGCCTCCACGGTCAAAGTTGGTGCCAGTGCGGTCCCCGTCGCTGCGCCGACATGTTCTCCTGCGCTGCGTCCTCGCTTTTGCAGGGAGTTCCCCTCATGGTCCACGGTCATGTTCCCGAAGGCAACCGGATCGTCTGCATCAGGTATCGTCATGGCTTCCTGCGACTGGACCTGGGTGGTGAGTGCCCCCGTGCGCTGGCTGTCGTCTGCTCGAGAAGCTTGGCTGGGAGACCCAGCTGCAACGCCTCCTGTTCCGGTCATCTTGCGGAGGGTCGTGCCGAAGATATTGTCCCCGGGCCGCCCGCCGATATCGTTCGGGTAGTGGGTGTGGATCTCCCCCGCTCGCCGCCAGGCGCCGATCTCGTTGTTCTTTGAAGTCTCCGAACTCGCGGAGGACAGCGAGGAAGAAGGAGTCGCGTAGTGCAACAAGGTTGTAGAAGTGGATGCAAGGGCTATGGAGGCACAGGTCTCTCTCTCAGACGCGCGCCCGGGTTGCTCCCCTGTGTACTCTCTGGGCTCGGGGCTCGAACCGCTCACGGCTTGAGCCAAAATGGCTCTCTCTCTCTCTCTCTTTCTCTTCTTCTTCTTCAGCACAGCCAGGGGAGTCTGCGTGCGCCGACCCCCCGCGCGATTTAGCGCACTGGGGAATTAACGTGCTGAGAAGCGCTGTCGGACACAAGAGACCGGGCCTGTACTGCCAACCACAACACCCGAGCACTAGTACCCCCAACCCGCCTTGAAGCCCAGGGCTCAGACACACCAACGGCAGGGGCCTGGGTCTCTAACTCTAACTTTTAAGCCTGAGGGCCTGACCAAATCGGTCTCCCCCACAAGAAATCCGACCCCACTATCGGCGTTCCAACGCGAGTGAGGCTCCAGGTTCGAGGCAAAAACACGCAAATGCCCCCCCCACACTGTTGGTGAGAGAGACGCTCTCCGACTCCAGGTTCCTAACTCCAGTGTCTCACCAGAATTCATTAATTATAGCCACTCCCCCGCATTCAGTCTCAAAGTAGCGGGAGCTTGGCTCCCACTTCATTTTTTTGTGGCTCTCGAGGTGCGAACGCCCAAAAAGCAAGGCTCAACTGAAGGTTTAGGATTGGGCCCACCAAGTAGGTGGTGTTGTGAAGGACGTCTAACTTCAATGTGGGATGACCCCACCGCTCACATGCAACTCATATTGTGGCCGCTCAATACCACCATCACCCCCCCACCGGGTACTTGGCCTCCCCACGATGATCTGGCGCTTAATCGCCCCCCGCACGTAGCCGTCTGCACAGGTGTGGTTGCCATTCTCGGCGGGCTGCAGGTATAATCACGATCTCTCCCTCCGGGTTCTTGGTCTCCCACGGCGGGCTTGCGGAGGATCGCGTAGCAGAGGCCCTCGACCTGTAGAGCCGCCGAGCCCGTAGACGGCGAGGTTTGTCAAAGTCCCCGAGGGTCTGCGCACGGACACCGTACAGGAGCACACTGGTAGATGTCCCCCCAGGCAACGCTCACGGCGGACTCGCGTAGTGCTGCGAACTCCCCCTCGTGCTCGAATGGACCCTCTGACTAAGGCCCACACTCTCTCACAGCCTCTCTTTGGTTTGAGGCCCTCGTCTTTCTTGTGGCTCGGCCTTGAACCGCCCACGGCTTGAGAAAATGGCTCTCTCTCTCTCTCTCTCCCTCTCTCTCTTTCTCTCTCTCTCTCTCTCTCTCTCTCTCTCGCTCTCCCTACCACATATCCGTGAATGGAAACAGAGCGACAAAGAGACAGTGCCACAGCGTCTGCTGCCATCAGCCACAAGTTTCGTTCCGCGGTGCATCTTAAACGTGAACACGGGATTCTGGCGTGCCTCGACCAGGAAAGTGGGATGATACCTGGACACGAAACATTGAAACAAACCGCGTGGCTGAGGGATCTTTATGTCCACACAACAACCGTGCTGAACACATACTCAGAGCGTCACCAGAAAGTGTTTCTCCCCGAGCCCTTGTACCACAGCTGGTACCTGCAATCAATCGGATGAACACGTGAGCTGGTTGGTTGTCATGTTTCGTGTTGGACATGTGCACCGAGGCCTTCTTGCTTGTACGAGCTTGGGTGCTTCTGAAACTTGATGATTCTCAGTCGCTTTGTCAACATGCAACATTGCAATAAGGTCTTGATATCCCAAAATACGATCTATGCTGCATGCGGCTGTTGTGCAAAATCCGCCGAGGCCACAGGCCCAGGCGTCTTGGGGGTTAGCTCAGGTTCCCTCCACCTAATCCTCCTCCCTGCGGTCCAAATGTTTGCCCCCCCCTCCCCCCCCCCTCCCCATTCCTCGCACTTCGTATCAACAACCTGGTTTGACAGGCGGCCCTAGCATAAAAAAACATCGACTGCCCCCTCACCCTGCCGCTACACAGCCGAGGCGGGCGGCGTAGCGTTAAAATTAACTGTAGGCATCTGTAGGCAACACATTTGCTTCGATTACATCCTGATTCCACCCACATGAAATCCTGGAGCCGGGGCGTACTGTAGAGCAAATTGCTCGTAAGCAGGGTTGGAACCGGCGGCGACCAACCAGCTGTGTCGGTGGTCCTCCGGGTCAAAGTGTCCCACCAGGATGCTCTCTGCGGTCTCGTGGGTCAGCGCTTTGCCTGAACATATGTGCTTTTAATCACCTACATGCTTGACTGGCATTCAATTCTGCACACTTTATGCTTACCGTGGCTGTTGTAGTGGTTGGAAAGACAGCATCTGAACCAACATTAGCAAGCAGTGGCAATGCTGGCAAGTCGTGTACCTGCAGCATTAGCACGTTTGGCATTTTCGTGCGATGTGGCCGCGCTGTCATTTGCTGGCTGCTTCCAGTCCATGTTCGTAGCTGCACCAGCTAGCAGTCCCGTAGTGGCTCTGTTCTTCTGGCAAATTTCACAGCCGCCATGCTCCACACCACACCAAAGGCATTTGCGAAGGGTAGAAAACTGGACTCCTATGAGGTCTCACGGCGGCTCCAACAGACCATGGGCGTCCTTACTCCGAGTGTGTCCCGTCCTGTTCCGAGGACGCTAAATTGGATTAGCTTGCGGAGTAGTGCTTGCTTAGAGTTCGGGATATTGAAACCACCACGGGATGCCGCGAACCTGTCATTTGGCTTGTATATAGGGCATGCTTTTTGTCTGAGAAAGGGTGGCAGTCGCACAGAATGCCCAAAAAGCCTCGGAAGCTCTCCAAAGGCTTTGCGGCTGGCGTGGTTGGCCGCTCAATCTGCGAGTTGAGCATGTTCTGCTTCTGCAGCGCGCACCTTTGCTTAGTCACGGGATTTGTTCGTCAAGAATAGCATCCCCATTCTCAACATGTTGGGACCTTCCTGTGCGCAAGAAATGGAGTTGCGGGTGGCGGCCGAAGCGGTGGGGGCCTTGCTGGTGGTGACGGCGGCGACAGAGGTGTCGCACCAGCAGCAGCAGCAGCGGTAGTAGTGGTAAGTCGTACCACCTGTAGTCTCAGTATGTTCTAGTTTAGGAGTCGTAGTAGTAGTCGTCGAAAAAGCAGTACTGTAGCATTTGCGGTAGTAGTAGTAGTAGTAGTAGTAGTAGTAGTAGTAGTAGTAGTAGCAGTAGCAGTAGCAGTAGTAGTAGTAGTAGTAGTAGTAGTAGTAGTAGTAGCAGTAGCAGTAGCAGTAGCAGTAGCAGTAGCAGTAGTAGTAGTAGTAGTAGTAGAAATTGTAGTGGTAGTGGTAGTGGTAGTGGTAGCAAGTAGTAGCTGCAGTAGTAGTAGTAGTAGTAGTAGTAGCAGTAGTAGCAGTAGTAGTAGTAGTAATAATAGTAGGAGTAGCAGTAGCAGTAGCAGCAGCAGCAGCAGCCGCCGTATCCATAGCCGTAGCAGTGGTAGTCGTAGTACGTAGTAGTAGTACGTAGTAGTAGTAGTAGTAGTAGTAGTAGTAGTAGTAGTAGTAGTAGTAGTAGTAGTAGTAGTAGTAACTATATACAAAACAATGATGATAGCAGTGGCAGTAGTGATCAGTAGTGCCAGCGGTAGTGGAATTAGTGGGAGGGGAGTAGTAGGAGGAGCAGCAACAGCAATAGTTAACAGTACGTCCATGTAAGACGGTATCATGGTATCTTCCGACGCCTATGATCCATATTGGGCAAGTAAGCAAATAGCAATCATTGCAAGCACAACTATCACCATTGTCACTGCTGATGCCGCTCAGGGACAGGCTGAAATCTGTAAATGCCTGGCTCTGATAGGAGACTATACAGCGATAGGAGCATGACTGGTCTGCCAGACCACACCTCAGCAACAGAGTTGCAGGATTCGACTACAATGGGCACACCATGTTCCCTCGACCAGAACACCGTTTTGACAGACGGTGCGCATCCAATACAGACAGACTGCTGCGAGAGGCAGGCCAAGCTTTGTAGGCAGCGTGGTTGAGTAAAGCAATTGCGAAACTGCTCTTGGCACCGATCCTTACGGTCCAACGCGGCTAGAGCTGGGTCTATCTCACATCAAGCCCCGAGAATACACATCACCCCAATGTGGAGTCTCCCGGAAATACGCATCAGCGACGGAATTACACCTCAGGACAAAGTAATCAACCCTCACGACAAAGCAATCACCTCAGAGACGCTGGGTTGAAGACCCAGACCGAATGTGACTTGAACTACACATGCCGCTACTGGTTCGCCAGGTAATGAGCGCCCAACCCACGGGTGTTCATCTGACTGGCGAGACAGATGGACCGCACTCTGGAACGCCGCCTGTATGGCAGCCTCATCCAACGGCTGGAATTGAGGGCCACCGGGTGCATGTTTGACGCAACCTGATGGTGAGTTGAATAATCAGTCTGGTGCAGACTTCGGCATCTACAGAATGTGTGGCAGCCACGAGCACTATGATGATGGGCGTTCTCACCACCAGTCTTGCGCAACCTGTGCGCTCGACTGGGACTTCTTTGCCGAATACATCACGGCAGGGACTGGTGGGTGGGGATGCTACAATGGCGGGACTTGCCTGGCGGTTTGCGACATGGACACGGCGGAGGCGACGCACACTACGCAGGCTGGGGCGGCAGGGGACGTTGCCATGTCGGCTGGAGAGGTCACGATTGTCAGGAGGAGCACTGCACCAGACAGTTTCGAGAAGGGCCACACAGGACTTACGCCCCCGTGCAAGAGACACTGTGGTGACCCGAGTGAGGCTGCATGCAAGGTGCACTGCCGCTTGAGCGAGCTCAGTGTTGTTAGCGGTGCGTCAGACTGGACGGTTTACACCCCCTCAGAAGGAGGAACTGCGAGACCTGCGGGCAAGAGTAGCCAGTACAGGTGAAGTACGGCCGACCTGAAATTCAGAACAAAGACGACAAGCAGCTGCCCTAGGGGAGTGCTCACGCTTCTCGTCTACCCTTACGGTGAGGGGCGCCTGAGTAGCTTGGCTCTGCGTGCTTGCGCTGACCGCCTGAGGTGTGCGGGCAAGCGAATTCGTTCGGCCTTTGACATGTTAGGAGGTCCGCAAAGTGGCACTTTGGGGGCGCAGAGCTACCTCACCAGCGTGGGGAGAAATGGGATAAGGTTACTGTCCGACGGAGATCATCATCATCATCAACATTCATCAACTCTATGTCGTCATGATTGTAGTGGGTGGGTGCAGCAGTGGTAGCATGCTGGGAACGTGGATGGGAACTTTGGTAACGTTTGGTAACTATTGTGTTACAGGGCAGGAGGCTCTAGCTCAGATGAGGAAGGCCAAGCGTTCGAGGAAGATGCAGGAAGCGATCAGGGCGGAATCAACGCACGAATGACGATGAAGCTCGGAGCATCTCCTGCTGCAACATCTTCCTCTAAGGCATCTGCGTGTACTATACCACCACCACCACCTCATGAGACGTCACGATTAATTACGAGCTCATGGACTCCCACAGTTAAGGCGTAAGTCGGGTAAGTTCTGTAAAGAAGGATAGCCAGGAAGACAAGTCTACTCAAACGGACGCATGGCTGAGAAGTATGCGTGGGGTCTCGGAGCACGGGGAACGTGTTCATGCCCTGGAGTGATGCTCGGGACTTCGGAAAGCGCGGAAGCGCAGATTGATGCACTACATGCTGTCGGGACCACAGAGGGTCGCTGCAGCCGGATCGCGGGTGAAAGATGATGGCGACTAGTCAGTGGGACATGAGACTGTCACCGAGGAGTGATGCAAGCTTGCGATATCCTTCCAATCATGTTCTCAGCCCATGGGATGCAACACAGGCAGTCATGAAAACAGTATAGTGCCAAAACTGCAAGCAGTAGTTAGCCAAGTCCTGAGATGTCCTAAGTTTGCTAGCAAGCGCTGCGGGCCCGCATGCCTGGATGGCATACGCATGCTATGTGAAGCCAGCATTTGCATTACAATTATGTCGCTGACGCCCAGTCCGTACATGTCCGCACTGGTGTTTTAGCCTGAATTGTGTGCATGGCTCTGCATCGGCCACGGACCTGGAAATCTGGTGAAGTTCTCCGAACTCGGGGCTCCGAGCTACGCGCATGTGAATCTATTTTGCCGGCCGAGCAGCCACTGCACGGAAGACAGTATCTGCCGTTGGAACAGGCCGTTGATCCACCATGGCTGGCAATGGCATCACCTGACTTTCGTGTGACTCACGCCGGTCACTGGAGCCAGAACCTTGCATCCAAGTTGCAGCTTTATCAATCAGCACCAGCATAGCATAAACAGCTTCTTCAGCTGTTCTACGGTGCCAGAGATCGGTCACATCATTTCGCAGCTTTGCAGCCTGGCGGCACCGTAAGGATGCTCTACTGCCGTTCATCGCCCGTTGGCTTTCAAGGCCTTTTTGTGTCTTTGTGCCTTCACAGCTTCTGAACCAAATTAAATCGCCGTCTGCAGGGATTGCGATGCGACTGCATCAGAAATGACTTGCCATGTATTTCACAAGGCATCGCGTGCTTTGCAAAAGGAGGGCTTCTTGCTGTTTTTCCTTTGTCCCTCTCGCAACTTTCAAACTAAGTGACTGCAAACTTCTTCGTCATTGTGCCTTTGCGTGTCTCCCGCTGTGCCGTCTTCGATCCTCGACCCTTCGGATCGAACAAGTAAACACCAACCTGAATGTCACAAAACATCCGAAACTGTTCACCAAGGCAAGCGAAATCACGAATGACAAAGCATTGTCACCAAAGAAACTGCTTTTCCATAGTCCGGCCTCACTGTATCCTGCCACAACCGCAGAGAGTCCGAGAAAGCCAGAATTGGCCAGCTCTGCTTCCCCAGCCCCTTGCAACGGTAATAAGCTTGGACGCTTTCATTGAACTAGAAACAGCCGCTACAGCGCTACAGCAAGACTGGCTTGCTCAACACGCCTTCGAGCTGTGTCATTGAAGTCCAGAAAACACTGGTGCCGCGAGATTTGCAGCCTTGGTAATGTGCCTCTGCTGTTACCGGTGCTTGGGGCTAGGCATGTCGAAGACACAGAATATCGAACAAAAAAACACGACAACCGTTTTTCCCGACGGAGCCCAAAAGAGCTACGACGGACGAACCCTTTCTTTTGGATGGTTTGAAGCGCATTCGCGCCGGGTCCGTCGCATTCGCCAGTACAAGGCAAGCCGGCGCCGGGGGACGCTTTTAGCCTTTTAGCTGCCCCGGCCCGCTGCCCGCCAGAGCGACGACCCGAAGGTCTCGACAGAAAATACCCAACAAGGGCGGAGAGGGTGGGAGCTGAAAATCGTCGGGGGACGTGGGGCAGAAAGCGGCTGCAGCATCCACGTCGATTCGACGGTTGTCCCTACGCACATGAATGTGTTACGCGACAACCGTTTCCCCGACGGAACCCAAAAGAGCTACGACGGACGAACCCTTTCTTTTGGATGGTTTGAAGCGCATTCGCGCCGGGTCCGTCGCATTCGCCAGTACAAGGCAAGCCGGCGCCGGGGGACGCTTTTAGCTGCCGCTCTGCGCCGGCTTAGCCCGCTCACACCGCCAGGTTCAGAAGTTGGTCGGCGGCGTCGTTCACCGCGAAGTCCAGGTCGGCGACGGCCTTGGAGAGCACCCGGAGGATGGACTCGACGGGCGTGTTGACCCGCTGCCAGCCGGAGCTTTCCGCCGTGTGAAGGTCGCCCCGGGACACAGCATCGGACACGTTGGCCTTCGACGGCACCCGACGGAAGTCGGGAAGCCATTCAGAAAGGGCCGCCGTCGACCAGAAGGCCGCCAACACGCCGTTGACGGCGGCGTCTTTCCCATACCCTTTGGTGAGGGCCCACTGGCCGGCGACGTTGTATAAAGGCCAGCCACCTCTGGGGCAACCGACGGGAAAGAGTGACAAGCGCCAGGACCTGGGCGACGATCTCGAGGACATAGATAAAAGCCCGACGGGAAGCAAAGAGGTCCAAGAACTTCGCCGACGCCGCAATCATAGAACACCTGGGTGCCGATGCGGACGACGAAGCCCCAGCCATTCCGGCCGCGGGTGGCCGGACGGATGCCGACCTCCGCCGGTATATGTCTCGCCTTGTGCTTCACCTCGCCGGGCTGGTAGAAGGCGTCGGCGTAGATGATCGCCGCCGGGGCGCCGTCGTCAATTATGGGCACCCTCCTTGGCCGGATGTCCGCCAGTAGGGCCCTGAGCGAGGTGAGGGCCGCCCGGAGACCCGCCGACAGTGTCGTCGACGATGTGGCGGCAGCTCGTGCGCCCTGGAGTAGACGGGCTGGAGGGCCGCCTTCCCCAGTGCGCCGAAGGTCGACTGGGTGATGAAGTTGAGCCTGCCGGCCAAGCGGTTTGCGACGTCGGGCGCCAGATGCGCCAGCTCGTCGTTGGCCAGAACCGCGTCGATCGTCGCCAGGACCTTCTTGACGCGTCTTTCCGTCGGTTGTAATACCACCGCGTCCGGCTCGACGGAGATGAGAACTCCCTGGCCATGTGAAACCAGAGGGACACGCCGGCTGGGCCCGGCATGAGTGCGCCGGGTGTTTCACCGGCCATTGCCGGTATATAGGTGTTGAGGAGGTCGTGCCCGAAGATCCTCGCCACCGTCGCCGGGCAACCGGCTTCTTGGTCGACCACCCGCCTGATCATGTCCACGAAGTCGTCAACGAAGTGGTGCGTCGGGACGTGGGCCCGGATGGTGGAGTTGTGGATCGATGCCAATCCTCGGCCCGACGACCTTCACACCTCCCTGTTCGTCTTCTTGGACGACAGGGAAGGAGGCTGCCGGCTGCCGCGAAGGCCTGGCTCGGCGGTGGCACCAAGCGCTCCGCCGGGTCTGTCCAGGGGCCGTCGTGTGCAGGCCCCATCGAGACGGCCGTGTTCGCCCGTGGTGGCCCGCCCCCGACGTGCCCCGTCGCATTCTATACTTGGAGGGTCGGGTGGACTTAGTAACTGGTTATTTTAGGGACTTATAACTACCATAACCCCAATTAGGGCCCCTTTTAGGGTACTTATAAGTCTACTTACTACCTACTTACTAAGTCCCCCGACCCTCCAAGAAGAGGTCGAGAGTCGAGATCAGCGTCAAGCCCGGCTTACGGCGGCGATGTTCCAGCGGACCCGTCGTCCTCCAACTCGGGGGCCCGGCCGACCCTGGCACTCAAGGACGGCGACCCGGAGCGGCGACAGGCACAACAGACCAAGCCAAAGAACACTCAGGTTGCCTGTCGCAGTTCCAGTTGTGCATTGCCTGTGCCGCCGGCCGCCTCTTCACCATGGCGCACGGCCTCTACTTCGTCGCGGACGCCCTGACCGACTTCGACGACCTGGCCATCTCGGCGGGAGCCGGGCAGGAGCTCATCGTTGCAAGGCCTTTTTTGAACCGGACAGGCGACCCTCGCCCTGGTTGCCGACGAGTGGGCCGACGTGGAAGTGCGGGTCTTCCAGCCATTCCGCGACGGCGACGAGATACCTACAAGGCGCCGGCGGCCGAGCACCCCGTCGCGCGGGCGGCAGTGGAACGAGTTCTCCGCCCCAACGCCGGCACCGTCGACGGCCACACCGCCGCCACCTACTCTGCCGACGCTCGCCGGGGAGAAGCCGCCGTGCAGCTTGGCGGGGAGCCGCGTGTGTTCCCGGCGGAGCGCCTCGTCGGATCGGAGGAAGTGCTGGGTGGGAACACACGGAGTCCAAGCTCTACACGCCGCTCGGCCTCGGCGAGATCCTGGCGACCCGCACCTGGTCGTCACTCGGCGTCGTCAATCCGCTCGGCCAACGCAGCATTGGCGGGGCACAGAGCATCAAGTTCGTGGACGGCGGCCACAAGGCCGTCGGTGAGGTCGACCATGTAGAAGACGGCGACGGGGAAATAGCGACGGGGACCGGCCGGCTGCTATCACTGCCGGTGCCGGGACTGCTCGTGGCAGTCTTCGCACTCGTGGTGCTCATGTCGATCCAAGCGGCAGCGCGGGTTGGTGCACGGATGGCCGCACGCCCGTGCGCCAGATCTCGCCGGGGATCTTCTCGGGGATGCGGCCCCCCCTGACGCCGGCACGATGGCGGAGGGGCTTGCCGCTCGATCTTCTCCAACTGCTCGATGTTGGCGACGGTGAGCGGCCGGAGGGACTTGGGGAGCTCGACGTCGGAGCGGACCGACGGCTTATTCATGAGCTCGATCAGGCTTCGGAGCACAACATCCGCCGGATGTGGGCGATGCGCCGGTACTCCCTCTTGTGCCGGTCCATCTCGACCTGCGACGCCCCCTGCGCCGGGCGACGAGGGAGAATGGGGAAGCCGGCACCCGTCCTCGGGTCCGCGTCGGGGTACATCTCCTGCGGGGTTGTTGGTGTTCTTGCCCTGCGAGATGCACCCGACGGAAAGGACGGCGGGGGAGGCGGCCGGCATCGCCTTGATCTGCGGCGCGACGGTGCGCTGCTGCCGCGACTCCACGAACTGCCGGCGGAGCTCGTCGGCGATCCTGTCCTGATAGTCGGAAGGCCGGGGCACCGACGAGGACGAAGTAGCCGGCGGAGCAGCCTGGATCACAGTCGCCGGCGTGATCCGATCCGGCAGCACCGTCGTGTAGCGCCGGTAGAACTCGGACATTGTGTGTGTACGCCAGCTCCGCGTCGGCGCGAGAACCCGAGCGAGTCCCACATCTGCGGCGGTCCGCCCTTGGGGGCCGACGGAGCCGGTTGGTCGGGCAAGTCTGCCGGGGAAGACGCCACGTTGGGCACCCCTGCGTGCGCCGAGGGAGGCGCTTGCTGACGGTCGACAGGGGGCTCCGGGTGCGGATCCGCCAGCGCCGGTGCCTTCGCTCCTGTCCCTGAGCTCGCCGGCTTCACTCCTCCCGCCGAGTCGCCATATACGACGGGGCCAGAGGGGGGCTGTTGATCGCCTCGACGAGGGCGCGACGCTCCGACCCACTCCATTCGGAGAAGAGCTGGGAGAGGTCGTCGCCGGCGGCAACAGCCCGGCGGATCATGTCAAGGGCCGAGACGACGTCGGCAGACTGGTAGGCCATGGCGACGAGAGGATCTAGCGGCAAGCTGAAAATCGTCGGGGGACGTGAAGCAGAAAGCGGCTGCAGCATCCACGTCGATTCGACGGTTGTCCCTACGCACATGAATGTGTTACGCAACAAGCAAAAGGCACCTTCTCAGGGCACATCTTCGATCGAGATTAAGGAGCACAAGGAGACGCAAGGCTCTGCGGACGCTTCAACCAACTAGAGTAACCAGCTGCTTACACATGTTTGGTGCAAGCGGGCGACTTGTGATGAACAGTCTGGAATCTGCCTTGGCCAGAGCTTTGCCGAGCGTTTCGCGGCACTCCTGCAGCTGAACTCGCGAGCGGAATTGTTACAAGTACTGTATTAGAGCAGGGAGGCTTGGTGTTTGATGATCCGCGGCATCCTGCGCGCATCGTAGAATTGCAGTTCAATGTTGGAGCTCCGCCCTTACAATTTTTTGCAGTAGCAGAACCTAGGCCTGGGACGTTAGTGCAAAGACGATGGCATGAACACGTGTGATGGGAAGTTCGACTCTCAAGCTTGCGTTCTCATCTATGCCGCATGTCAGCTCGCAATAACCAGCATACAACGTGCGCATTTAAACTCAGCCGGCTGAGCGAACACAGTTTGAACTGAAAAAGTGGCTGGGTTGTGCTCCGCACTTGTCATTCGGATCTTGGATTTGGCACTGTGCCAGTCGGAGGAAAGCAAACCTATAAGGGGAAGAGATCGATCCCTTCAGACGACTGCTCGTAGATTAGAGATTCTAGATCAATTTTCGTGCTGCCATGCCTTCGACTGACTGAACTTCCAGAATACTTCAGGCAAAGCCCTTCTTGCACACGCGGTGCTCGCCAGTCCTGTGGTGGGTCCACCAAGTCCACGCCAAAAACAAAGTCTGCATGATACGTCTGATCCTTCAGATACAGCTACGACGAGAGAGGTTGAGCTCGATCCATAGCCATGACATGCTGTGACCACACCGCCTGGCAAAGCTCCAAAACGGACATAACTCCTCAGATGCTCAGCAGCTGCGTTTAGTCACGGCCCCGGCACCTCGGGAGAGCTTTGCGAATGGACGTATTAGGTATGCTACGATGCTATGAAGAGTTCTGGCTCTATCACCTCCGGCAACTGAATCCAAGGCTCGGAACTCCACAGGCTCTGCGCCCAAATCCCAGTTGACCCGTCGAGCCAGCTGTTCTGCAGCCTCTGTCCAGCTGGGACTGCTGCCCGTGAGCGCGGTGCCCATGTGCGGCACTTCCGCGAAACCTTACGGAAGCTTTTAAGCCCAGCTGCTTTCATCCTAGAATATCCTAGAACTCTCGAGCCCAAGCCTGGTGAACCTGAGCCGGGATGTAGCAGGAGTACCTCAGTTGTTGCGCAGCACTCGGACAGGTTGCTGAAGCATCATGAACATCAGTTTTCCGGGAGACCGACCATCGAACTTTGACAGCAAAGGCACCTGCTTTTTGCAGGTCGACGTGCTCCCGATGGTTGCGTCGGCGGCGGATCCCTTTGAGGGCCAGGGCCGTGCAGCTCTTGCCGCTCATTCTGCATACAACGGCAAGTCTACCCGGTCTACCCATGCCCAGGCAAAGGGAAGATTCCGGAAGTCGGGGAGGCCTTGAGATGCCAACAGACAAGACTGAAGAGTCTGGCTCTCAAGTCAGGCAGTCTGGTCCTCAAACGGTGGAAGAACTCCAAGTTCAGAAGTGTCTTATGTGTCTGCCAAACACTCCTATACGCCTATACTCTGTACGATGCAGAGGCTGAGATGCATTGCATCCTCTACCTGTACAGTTGTTCAGCATCAACTCGTGCAGCACCGTGCTGGTCTGGTAACTCTATGCTGCTGAACAGATGCAAAAACAGAGTCACATCCGGTTCAGGAAGTATATTACTGAGCGATGGTACCGGAAAGCGGGTGGTGCGACGGCTCAAGTCCAGCGCGATCACGCGGTTCATACAGAAGGACGCTTGAAGGCCCCGCGCGCAGCAAGCGTGTGAATAAATGTTCGGCTTGAACAGCTGTTACTGCGAGTAGATGCAACCTTACCGGCAGCGCGATGGTTGGTTCTCGATTTGCCTGGAGGGTTGCTGCGGCGGCGGAAGCCAAACTGTCGAGCCTGGAGCAGAACGTCACGACACCGTGACAGCCAAGTTTTCAGAACAGATGGCCTTGATTGGGTCAGCCGGCCCTCTGCCACAGACACGTGCAGTTGGTTCATGTTGCCACCACAGAAGCCGGCAGACGAGGCTGCCAGCACTGCTAGCAGAACCTGCAAACAACCAACATCTCGATGGCACTCGATGGCCGACAACTGAGGCGAGCGCCGGTGCCAAGCAGCATGTTAGCGAAGCCAGGCGGGGTGTCCTTGTGGGAAGCCGCACCTTCCAGACAAGACATCCCGGACAGGGAAACCACAAGATAGCAAGGCTCGTTACCCGATGCGGAGCTTAAAATTGAGGATGTCACAGGTGCGCGGTGTCCGAATCTGCGGGTCTCCATGACTGTACGATGACTAACTGACTAACTCACTGTGACGGGCTTAACATTCTCTTCTCTCAGCTTTGTTTGGGTTACTCTCGGTATGAAGCTGCTTGCACCATGTTAATGAGAGTGAAGACGCACATAGTTACGATAAAGCTTTGAGCACAAAGCGTCGTGCCAACAGTAGTTGCGCTGTTTATGAGAATCATGCGTCTTCTGAAAAGGCACCTTCGTCTCACAAGGATTCACACCGAACGAAAAAGACTGCATGCTCCGCGCTCGCCGCCCAATGCCATTTTTCGCTGGAGTGCACATGCACAATCGAGTGGTGGCTGGATGCATACTCGCGCAATTGGGCGCTGACTCGTCTGTCACGAGGCATTGCAAAGCTGTGTCTCGTGTCATCTCGTGCACGTAGCAGGGAATCTCGGCTCCAACCTCACAGAACATGTGGGAACGCTCCCTCTTAAAATGCCGCGATATGCCGCGAATACTCCTGGTGCCTGATGGCCACAACCGTTCTCGCAAGGGAAGTGCTGCTTCAAAGCGTTGCAGTTGTTGGCGAACTCCAGTTGCCGCGCATCACATCTCAGGCCGGCCTTCCAGAGAATGTGAAATGCGTCTAACCAAAACACCCCCTTCCACACTTTCACTCGTCAGGAGAATGCTTTCAGAGCTCGAGCAACAAAAAAAGCCTGCACAGAAAGGATGACCTACGATTTGTCGCTTCTGTTCGAATTCAGGCGAATGCCGGATGAGGTTGTAGTTGAACTCCAGCAAACAGCAATCAACACTCCCGATTCGTGTTCGCATTTCGGAGTCTAGGCCGGTGTTGTAAGGAAGCTTTTCCCTGGCATGATGGAGCATGCAGATCGCTTGGCAGGCTATGGAGCCAAGCAAATCCATCGGGCCGGCGCCGGTTCGCATGACTCATGTTCCGTGGCGGGGCCCCCTGAAGCACGGCACCACACTCCACGTAGGAGGATTGCAAACTGGAGAGAACAAACGACAACGAGTACAACGCGCTTGAATTAGAAGATCTATAGAGCTCCAAAATTTCGTTGTATCACGGTATCACCCACAAGAGAACGCAGGCTATCGCACACTCTCTTGCAGGTCTGCGCATTTCATCTTTGATCGAAGCACGTACAATATCTTGCTTGCGCAAGCTCTGCAGCTAAAAAGCATCTCGGGTAGGCTGGTTACAAGCAGCCGTGGTCAGCAAAAGGTCACACCTTGTTGCAAGCCATTTCGCAGGACTGCCCTGGCTGGGCTTTCCTTGGCAGTCGGACAAAACTGACTCAACACGCCTGGCAGTCTAGAGTCGAATGCACTTGCCATGCAGCCCAGCTTCGTCATGACATTGCCTGGATCTGCACGCCAAAGTTCATTCTCTGGAAGAAGCCCCTCTCCCTGAAGCAAAGAAGGTGAACAGTGAACAAATGTATCCTCTCCAGGTGTACGCTGTGTCTTTCATAGCTGCAGTTCTCGACGGCCTGTCGTCGATCGATCAAAGCGAGCAGCGCATGTGACTGCGGATGCCGGCTGAAGATTATGCCTGCCGGTCCGTCACGCATGTGCAGGGCAGATTTCTTGGAAGCGACCAACCAGCCAACGAGAACGATCGGTCGAGCTCAAACGATATTTATTATGCCCCGTCCGTCTCGAACATCACGGCCGGCAGTCATATAGAAACGCTCCAGGACTCTAGGACTCTACGACGCAACCTCTTCAGCGGCTTCGAGAAATATCCCGACTCGCAGCTGTTATCAGCTGTTGGTTGCCCATCTCGCTCTCAAGAATCGAACAAACCCATGCTGGATCAATGTGAGGACTCATGAAGCTGTTGTCAATCGAAGACTGAGTGGGGATGGCATCAGACACCGCAGGAATGCAGAAGAGTGCTCTCAGGTTATCCTGTGGGTTTCCTGCATCGTCCATCCGTCGGCAAGAAATCTTCGAAGACCGAAGCTCTCGCCTCTACTGCATAGATCGAAGCACTGACCGCACTGAAGGATAGGCCTCGCCAACCCCCTCTCGGTTGCCCAGGATACAGTTGAAGTTTTCTGGCAAGAACAGGGAAGTCCTCCCGCCCACCGAGATTTCAACTTCTATCGACCTCTTGCCTAAAAGCTATCGGTGACTCTCTGAGTTGTTAAGTTGACTTAGTCACAGGCTCCAAACCGACGTTACGATGATACGTGCGCCCGGGTTGAGACTGAGAATATCAGTCTTCAGATTTATGCAAGCACGTCTTCGCAGTCAGTCCTCTCGAACGTACGGAATGAGATGGTATCTTCCAGAAGCTTGGTCAGGTAGGCGCGAGGGAAGTTCGTCCAGAGACCGCACCAACGCTCCATCCTGCAACCGCTTCCGGATGTTGGTCTCGTATTCTTCCCTGTCAAGGGCTCACGGAGCAGCACAAAGATGCTCTCAGATCGCTTCAGAGGCTACACATGACTACTCGACCTCAGGGCCTCAACAAATAAGTCACATCGTGCAGCTGGCCATGCGGCAGGCTGCTTGTGGCCATCTTCTCAAGGAGCTTCAGAATGGGAGTCCCGGCCTGCCGTGACGACATACGGCGAATCAGCATGAACCAGCCTAAGAGGCAGGAGAACTTTGAGACGTCACCCATCCTTGACATTTGTGCCCTTGCTGTCCACGTGCCGGGTGCGTGGCGCTTCCGGCGCAATGCAGTCACGAGGCTTTAAGCCAGAGCCGTGGCGAATCCAGTGGTCCCAGCCAGTGCTCGGAAAGGCTGGCCACGAGTCTCGCAACATAGGCCAGGTGCTGTTGCCTCAGACTTGCATCCCAAGTGCAAGCCACAAAGAACGGTAGCGTTCATCATCATGCCAGGACTCGGATCATCCAGCCCAGTCCAGGGAAGTAGTCTGTTCTGAACAGGCGATGCTCATCTGGTGCGAGCTCCCGAAAACCATTGTCGTTCCATGCAGACACACACCACACCGAAGGGTCACGCAGCAAAAGCGGTGCTGTAAGCCGGAAGTACCACAGAAAATCTGGTGCCAATGTCAAGTCGTTCTCGACGAAAATCGCAAATTCAAAGCCGGCCACCTCGAAACCTGAATAGTTCAGCGGCGGATGTCTCCACATTTCTGAGTCGAAGGCTCCGCGAGTGCCGTCGAAGTTCTTTGCGAGATGGCGAACTTGAAATGTGCGGCGATCTTTGCAACCGCAACCTCATATGCTGAGCAGCGAACTTCTCAGGATCATCATCGCCATTCACTGAGGAGAAGCGTTTTCGCTCGCTACAGAACCTACAGCATGGGATCGGCACCTTGAGGCTTGCATCATCTGGCTTGTGCCACACACCAATCTTAAACTTCGCGGAGTACTTGTCAACCACGGCCTGCAGGACAGGAGCTGGCCGGTCGCAGTTCTTAGTCTCAGCATACAAGCGGCCTCCATTTTCCGGAAGGACGGTGCGTGATCCAAAGAAACCGCAGTGGCGACCAGGCCAAGGTCCGGCTGTGCAGCCAAGGAGTCCAAGCACCTCAGTCTCTGGCACAGCCACTGGCACTGGCAGTCCCCACCAAAACTGCGGCTTCTTTGAAGAAATGCTTTCAAGCTTTGCGCTGCTTTGCTGCCAGGCGCCGGGCAAGACAATCTGGACGGTCATGTGCCAAGATCACGACACCAGCCCGGCCGCCCTCCAGTGCTGGCCACATCTCCGGTGCCGCGTGCATTGCGCTAGCGTCCGAAAACGTTGTACTGAAGCCTGCCTCAATCACCTCGACAGAAATGTCAGGCGTCTTCAGTACTCAGATTCAAACTAACTGCTGCATGTTCGGTTCGACCTGCAATCAAGATGCAGAAGGTCTTTGAGACCTGTGCTGGTTTCTGTGGGGACTGGAGACTTATCACTACGTACTCAGTCTGCACTGCAGAAATGCACGTTTCCAGCCAAACTCATTGTGGCAAAGCAGCATCACGCCAAGCGAAGAAGGCCGAGGAGTTGCATCCGACGCAGCCCTGGCCAAGACCACAGAATGAGCATGCTGGTGGCATGATTCATTTACACTGATTGTTTGCACTTTAGGGGGACTCCTTGAATTCATTTGATATGTGGCACCTCCCAAGGGCAGACTGCACTCTCCGCAGTCCGCGCAGTTGCGAGAGACGAAATTGCCCGAACTCGCTTTCGAGCTCATGGCCTCAGCAACAAGTTTTGTCTGTGGAATTCTAGCCTTGTGCATGACTGGCACCAGGTGCGAAGCCGAGGGCTGTGTAGAGAAAGATCAGAACGGTCACGAAGGTGAGTATCACCTGCGGAGAAGTGTATTCACTCCAGGGCTCGGCATTCCACACTCTGAGACCACTGCGCCGCCCGTCAGCAGCAGGAAGGGTTGAAAAGCGCCTGCAAAGAAAAAGCGGTGCAAGCAGAGCTGCAGGAATCATAGGCGGTGGGTGGGCCTGCGCAAATGCTTTTGTCACGCTTTCCCTTACGTGCCATGGCGTCGCAGCTAATGCATAAGGGCCCGAGCGCAACTTGTGTGGCACGAAGTCACCTCTAACTCCAGCCGCCCGAAGTTTCTTGGACAAACTAAATGTGCCACTCCCATTTCCGAAGAAATATGCATTGAATTTGGTGCGTACGGTACAGGCTTTAAGGCTCTAGCACAGGCTTCCTGGCTTCTGTAACTAGTGGTGGGAAGGTTGTATGAGTGCTGTATGCGTCTCATACTCAGGCTTGCACAGGAGCCCTGCCCCCAACACTGAGCTGGTCCGCCAGGAGGAAGAATTCTTGCTGGAGCAGGCGTGGTGGAAACGAGGTCGGCCAACAACCACTTCATTCACATGTCAGTCACAAGCCCTCCCCTTCCACCCTTTCACGGCTTGCGTTCCTGTGCCCCGCCCCGGAGCGTAGAAGACCCCATCTTGCCGGAAAGACACAATACCGAGACCACAGCGGCGGATCGACACAAGCTGCTTCGACGAAGGCATGTGGCAAATCCAGGGGGTTTATGGGAAGCAACATGAAAGTGCTAGAGCTG